ATTCTCCACGTAGCATTGTACATAGCACCTAATCAACGCTCCTCTTTGAGCCCTCGACCTCTTGCGTGTAGCGCTATCGTGACATGACGTGGTTGTAGATCGAGTTTATCTGGATGAGCTGGGGTTTGGCAAAACAACGCAGAGAGATCAGATGATATTTGGAGCGTCATCCGTCATGGCTCGAAGTGGGATAGGACAGAGCTATTTTATAGAAGGTATACTAGCGTTGGGACCTCGCTATGACGCAAACTGTAAGAGCTCACTTTTTGAAAATATGGCTTACTTATCACAAATATCACATATGTATAGCTGATTTTTGCTGAATATAGCAACCCATCCTACTGTTTGGGCGAAACTAGCGACCGCTCTGCCTCAGCCTGTCTTTGTGACCGATTTAAGGTTCAATGGCAGAGGTGAATACACCTTCGGAACAATCCCTTACCATAATATGGATGTCAGTTTTTGGGACGGAGATATCAACGAGCAAGACCTTTGGAGACTCCCCATTACATCATACGCAATTGGCGGACACGCGACTGAGAAGAAGATAGCGAAAGCCTGTTTTGACGCCATAGTGGACACCGGTTGCAGTTTCCTTCGTCTTCCGCCTTGCATTGTACAAAGCTACTATGCAATGGTACCAGGTCATATTCAACGAGATGGAGTGTATCTCTTCCTGTCACGGTGACGATGTATCGGGCATTTGAACGCGAGATAGACAAGTATCAGATTCAAAGAAGGATAACTACGTGCTATTACCGTGGTTGGTTACAAGACGTTAAGATGCCGAGTTGAATTAGGGACGGGAGCCAGGCTATATACAGGACGAGAAAAGGGGCTCGCACATAGCGCGTGGCCCTAACAGAATCGGGAATCAGGTGGCAGGCGCGTGGCGCACGCGTGCGCACGTATGCGGGAACAAGGTGTCAGGGGATTAATGCTTAGAGGGAGGCTATAATCAATACCGTAACAGCCACTAAGTTTAACAACTTTAGGGCCTTTTTATAGTTTGCTCTAGGGCAGCTACACCTTTATAAGGTGGCTGTTAACTTTATTTAGTATGCTAGATATACGGGCTATAGTAGTAAAAAAAGGGAGTAAGCTTATGCACTGTAGTAGTAAATAAAAGGAGTAAGCTTGCGCACTTATTTAAAGGTTTATATAATTAGTAAATTTCCGTAACACCTGCAGGTATTAATAGGACTATAAGGCATTAAAATATTAATAGGAACCGCCTAAAATTAACTAAAATATGCCCCCTATTTTTATAGCTACCCTGCTTATCGCTTAATCTTAAACGCCTGTAAATCTATTTAAAGCTGTTAAAGGTACCCTTTTTTAAAACCCTAACTTATCCAGCTCTCTATAGTAATGCCGCTTTTATCCCTTAAATTATCTATATAGTAGCCACGCTCTGCTATCTTATCTCTATACTTTAGAAACAGATCTTTATCCTTGGATAACTATCTACACTACCTAACTAACTAAACGTTAAAGAACTCGCTTATTATATCTATCACGGCTTAAACGGTGAAGCTTGCTGCACGGCGTACTACGTAATATTAGGACCCGGCGAGAGGCCTTGTTGCAAGGGCCTATGCGAGCCTTAGCAGGAGTATACCTGCTAACCGCCGCCCTGCCTTTTTATAGCTCCTTAAGCTACGTCTTATTATTTAACCCGCCTGCCTGCCGTGCATTATAGAACACGTAGTAAATTCAGTTATTACTTCTACCTACCTGCCCGAGCTAGCTAGGGCAATCCTGCCGCCCGAGACCGTGATATTATATAGCTCCTTACCCACCTAGCTATCTACCTGCACCGCCGACCTAATGTCCTACCTTTTCCCCCTAGTCCTGCCGGATAGCGAATCCGCGTTCGCCGCCTATATTACTAACCACGTATATAAATAGTATAAGTACTGCCGCCAAATATATAAATATATTAATACCGCCCAGGAAAGCCTTACTAAAAACCACTAAGCCGCACTTTATATATAAGTCCTGGAATTGTCACGGTATCGACCGCGACACCCTACCTACCGAAATTCTGCCGCAGATTGCTACAACTCCAGCAATCTGCACCGGCCTACTACCGTTGGCCGGCCTCCTGCCCTGCCTACCCTGCTCCGCTCCCGTCTCGCTTCCGCTTCCTATCCTGTCCCGCTCCAGCCACCTACCGGCTGCCCCCTTTTCCTATCACCTGATCTGGTAAGGACCTCGCGTACACGCGTGCCACGCGCCGAAACGGCATGGAGGCCGTACGCCACGCGCTCGGCCACGCCCTTATATCCGGTGGCCCGTCTCCCGTCTTCCTGTTCCTTACACAACGTCTTGATTCTCCACGTAGCATTGTACATAGCACCTAATCAACGCTCCTCTTTGAGCCCTCGACCTCTCGCGTGTAGCGCTATCGTGACAGGAATTGGAAATTAAGGAATATAAACGATAGAGCGACCAACTAAAGGCATAATTATAAGCTGTCCGTGAATACTAGAAGGAAAAGATAAAGAAGCTTACGGATAAACTAGCTTTAGCCCTTGCTAAGAGATAGAGAGCAATTAATATAGCTATACCTACCGTCCGCACCGCCCTATAAACCCCGATACTGCAAGTACTAACTAAAAGAAATATAGCTAATATAGTATAAACGCCTCCGTCTACTTCTAATATATCTACCACCCCTGCCCGGCTTTCTAAGAAACAACCCGACCCTAATAAGTTTACAGGTGACCGAAAGAACTTCTGTGTTACAACCCGTAATACGAACAACCCGAGCGCAGAGGCACTCGCGGAGACAAGCAAGCAGATAAGACTAATTACGCAGAACCAGGTTACAGGACTAAGAGGGTCACGTGTAGGACGCATAGGGATCCTAGATTCCCCTATAGACTGCTAGTAGATAGGAACGATCTAAGAATAAGATATTACGAGGACAGGGTCACGTGATGGCTCGAGAGGCTTAAGGGAGCGAGCCAGGCGAGCGCTTAAGGGGCTCGAGGCCGCGAGCTAGGAGAGTAGCTTAAGGAGCTTAAGGCTGCGAGCTATATAAGTAAGAGGTTTCTTAGGACGGAGCTTTTATATAAAGGAACGCTCCTTTATATAGATAGGAACCTTATATTTAACTTAAGACTTTAATATTACCTATTAGAAGTAATAACCCTGTTTTAGACCTTAATTAATTATTGCCTTACCTTTTAAAAACTATTGCACCCTAATAATAACTTGCCTATACCCTGCCTTAGTATAAAACACTTAGAAGGTATAGAAGAGACAACCTGTTATACTTTAAACACCGCTATATTAAAGGAGTTATATATAGACAATTAATTAAAATAGCCTTACTAACCCCTTCGGGTAGTATAACTGCTAGACTAACCCTAACTATAACCGAGGTAGCAATATATATACAGGCGTTGCTTATATAAATATAAATACTAGAAGAAGCTAGCAACACTAAGAATAAAGAAATTACGGCCCTATAGGGAAATCTTTAGACCGTCTAAAAAAAGCTTACTACTACTAGAGTAGTTAGCTATAAAGGCTATAAAATAAATAAACCCGAAAAGTTTACTAGGAAAAGAGGAGCTTTGCGAGCATTTATAATATAGATAAGGCTATACCTGCGCACGAACTAAAGCAACCTTAAATTCGAATCGGATAAGGTCTATATAGCAGCCACCTTTTTAAAGAAAGAAGCGTTTAACTGGTTTAACCCGATGCTTATAGACTGGCTTAGCAATACTAATATAGATAATCGGAAACTAGAAACCAATATTATATTTAGCAATTACGGATACTTTAAGTTAGCACTTTAGATAACCTTCGGAGACACCGACAAAAAATAGACAGCAGAATAGAAAATAGCAGTTCTAAAGCAGAAGAGCTTAACTAGCTGCTATACTTTAGAATTTATGCAAATCGCGTCTAAGCTATTATAAGGAGATAAAGCTCTGCAAGTATAGTACTACAGAGGTCTTAAAGAAGATATTAAAAATAAAATTATATAAGGCGAAAGGCCTCTAATACTTTATAAACTTAAGGAAATAGTAATATAGATTAATAGTTAATAGTATAAACAACAATTAAAACGGGCAGATAAAAGAGGACTTTATTCTTACGCCCAACTAGCTAGACTAAAGCTAAGAGTAACTAACCGCGACTATAAAGATTGTATAGAGATTAATATTATAAAACAACGCAATAACTAAAGGGGTAAACTAATTACTAATAAAAAAAGGCAAGAAAAAAGGCGCAATAGTGCATGCCTATTATACGAAGAATAGGGACACTTTGTAAATAAGTGCTCTAAGAACACCTAAATAGTAGTAGTTATAATAAAGCTAAATATAAACCGCTATAATTCTATATTATAGACCGCGTGCTATAATAATAACTGCTTTACCTATTAGTTAGATAAGTAGGTAACAGGGTACTATTTAATATAAAGGGCGAAGGGATATACTATTACTATAATAAGGAATAAAAAGTATAACAGCAATCCTATAGATAACTACTATACAGACGTAGAAGTTAAGAGTATAGAGATTAACTACCTATTAGAAATAGATAAGGCGTTCCAGATAATTAAACCGCGATTAGAACCCCGAACTAATATACCCGAGCTACAGGATAACAGTAAAACCGAGTTACTAAACACGGAAGTACAGGTCGATAGAGTTGTAGCTATATATAAATAAAGCGCAAGAGAAATTTTTGCACGCCTTAATAAAGGATAAGAAGCGTAAAAAGCCGAAAACGCTATAGCGGGCGCAGAGCTAAAGGAACTAGCCAGTTACTAATTCCTAAGAGCTATAGAAAGAGTTACCGGACAACTTATTAAAGAAAAAGGATAAAAAATAGCCGCAGCCGCAGGAATAACAACAACAACGCCAACCCTTAATATAGAAACTCGCGCGAAATTAGATATATTTAAAGGCTTAAGCCGTAATATCTGGATAAAACAGAACAATAAATTACCTATTAAGGATAGTAAGGAGTACTATAATAGTAACGAAAATCGCAAACTAAAAAAGTAGTCTAGCAATAGCAAATTTAGTATAGGGCTAGAGCAAGAACCGCTAAAGCTATATAGAAGATAAACCGAGATTAAAATCTATAGAGCTTTATACCCTATTAGTAAAATAGGTGTCTATAATAAGGAAGATAAATAGCTAGATAGAAACCACCTACTTTATAGATAGATATTTTAGGTATCGTGTGTTAAAGATAAATGCGATAAGCACGTAGTATATAAGAAATATCGAGGATAGTACCTATATCGGATAAGATATTATATTATTACGCAACTAGTACTATTTAAGGAAATAGAGCACTATATTATAGGTAAAAAAAATAAACTTATAGGAGTAGCTACTATAGTTGCGGACCCTTAGTACCTAATAGAATATAGGAAAGATAAAAACTGGCGAATATATTACTAGGACTTATATCTAGTATATTGCGAAACAAAATATATAAACTATTAGCTATAAAAACAGCTAAAAAATAAGCAGGCGCTTAAGTAACAGGACGGCTAGAGCAGCTAAAAATAAGGTCCTATAGAGCAGCTAAAGATAAAGGAATACGAACCGCAACTATTGCTACTTTAGTAGGAAAAGCCTATATTATAGAGAAAGAAAGGAACCCGGCAACGCAGCCTAACTCTATTCCTATTTAGAACTATAGACACGTAATCCTATTAGTTAAGATTAGTAAAAACCCGGCGAGAGTACTGCTGGACAGTAGCGCGCAGGGAAATTTTATATCCTATAACTTTATTAAAAGAAACCGAATCCCTTAGTAATAGAAAAACAGACCTTATAGACTATATATAGTAGATAGCACACCTATATAATATAGTAATAGGCAGGTAACTATAGAAACTTAACTAGGTGTTATATAGATTAAAAAATATAAAGAAACTATTAGTATAGACATAACTAATACAGTAAAATATAATATAATTT